TAAGTATTTCATGCTTAAGTGTTGTGAATCCGTTCAAGAGAATGTTACTGAGATATATTCAGCCGATACTTTGTGCTGACTATCCATTCGACATCGTATTTTACACTAAAAGCTACATATGTCTCAAGATTCAACACCCGAACTAAACACCTTTTTCATCCTAATTTCCATTCTCCATTATTTATTCAACAGCAAAAAGTACTCTCAATACATCAATTTCAATATTCTATACCCCTCAAATGCCCTTTAACCAGCTATTGCAAAGCATACTAACTATCACTTCAACAGTAGAGTCATTGAAAGCTCTTCCTCGCATAATAACTCTTCTCTCAGATATGTTATGATCTCATTCATACCGTTTGAAATTGAAATGTCTCGAAAAAAAACTCTAAGTCAATATCTGTGATTTGAAAAATTCAAACGACCATTACTTGTACTTTCTCTACAGCGACTCTTAAAGATTCTTCTTCATGACTCCCACTTCCGTCAAGCATTTAAAACTCTCCTTCGTCGCCATTTACCAAGAAACACTTTTAATCTCGCTCCAAGGGGAAAAAAGGACTCTTCGAAATACCTCAAATAAGCTGTTTGATGAAAAGGATCCTTTTAATAACAATGATTGAATGGTGCTTTCCCATACCTCAAATGAAAGGTAATGAATTAGAAAGACCTTTAAGAGTCTTTCCCGGCTGATTTCGAGGAAGGAATCGTCAAATTATGTGAAGGTTTTAGTGGTGAGCTGGGGATCTTTATGGGTGTGGTATGGTTTAGAGAATGATTGTCAAGCAGTGCGTTAGTTGATTGGCATGGAGGAAGGTGGCTGGGCATTTCGTTAGTTGGTGGTGCGACTATGATTGGTGAGTAAGTGCATCTGTGTGTGTGGAAATATTCGCAAGATCTCAATAAGATTGGAACTTCCGGAGTTTTCCCAGGTGGAAACGATCGTATTTAGTTATTTCCGTATAGTTTTCTGATAGTATTCCGTGTGATTACGGGGCGGTTCCGGTAATTTTTCCTAATGGTTATGGTGGCGGGAATAGTGCGGAACACTCCGGTTACAATACGGTGATTTCCAAACGGAATACTGCTTCCAACGTCCGGATAGTTTTCCGGTCCGTTTCCGGTTGGAATGTCGTTGGAAATCACTGGGAGTAGCGGGAAATAACACCGTTTCCCGTCGGTTCCGGAGTGCGGAATCATCGACCTGGGTGGATGAACAGAGATATCTCTACGTCTCTAACTGTGAAAACCAAGAAGTAAGACGATACCAATTGGGTGAGAAGAGCGGCACTCTCGTGGCTGGTGGAAATGGCAAAGGTAGAAGTAGCATTCATCTCAACCAACCGAGTAATCTCTTTGTTGATCGAGAACAAAACGTCTACGTGTCAGACAGCTTCAATCATCGTGTAATGAAATGGATTATAGGTGCAAAAGAAGGTATTCTGGTAGCTGGAGATCAAAACAAAGGGCATGCTCTAACACAATTAAGTGGTTCTAGTGGACTGTTCGTCGATACGTTGGGTACTATCTATGTGGCAGACTCCTCGAATCATCGTGTAATGCGTTGGACTCCAGGAGGAAAACAAGGCACTGTAATTGTGGGTGGAAAGGGCAAAGGAGAAAGAGCAAATCAGCTCAACTGCCCCATTGATTTGTCTGTCGATCGACTTGGTAATCTCTGTGTCGCCGAATATAATAATCATCGTGTTCAACGATTTTCTATCGAATAGACTTGCGAATTGTTTTTTTTTGTTCGTTTCTTTTTGTACTTTGAAATAAATGAAAAAAAGAAATTTTCTTTCTCTCGTTCGCTTGAAAGAAAAGCTGTAACGAGCGTACGCATTTCATGTACTCGCAAATAGACCCATTGTGCAAATTCCATGCAAATATGATGAAAGTCTATAATGTGTTAGCAAGTTCATGTGCTACGGACACCAAGATAGGCTTGGTCAGTGTTTAACGCCTGTCTGGAAGACCTCTTTACTCTCGAGGACAATCAAAACAATATACAGGGTGTGGGTGTGGGTGCCGTTATGGACAAAGAATAGAACTGCATATCTCGATAGTACATCCTATTCTGTGACGTTAAAAATTGCGGAACCAATTCCATATATTTTCCAAATTCCATTTATCCCGTCCAACACAAAACCTGAATTCCAGGAATCAGCTCCCTCAAACTACCGTTCAATTTCGATTATTACTGTCTCTTCTAACAGGGATTCTGTGAGCCAGTTCCTAACAATTCCTTGAATTTCCGACGATTCTGTCTGATTCCTGAATTGATTGATCATCATTATCCGTAAAAAAATAAGATAGCATAGTTTTGATTTTTTTTGTTGTTGAATGAATTTTAAATTTCTTTGAAATTGTCATGAAAATCAGGAAGCAATTATTCTATTGAAAACATTCTGTAACAACGAGTATTTTTCTACTATTTAGATTACAAATCGAACGGCAGGTATTGTTCTCTGTTTCGTCATCAACGCCGCTTCTATCTTCAAAACAACCAATAACAACAACTCAAGCTTATGATTATGCCGTATTTAATCTAGTATGTTCTCCTAGCAGATTCATGATTTTCCTTGGACATTGTTGATGAAGGCAATCGAAAGATTGAACAAGAAAAAGGGAGAGGTGCAGGAAAAACTAAACACGACCGAGGCAAAGCGAGAGAAAGAAAGAAAGAGTTAAGTTGAATCAAAAATAAAGTGATCCGCTGTACCAGTTCAGTTCTTTCGAAAAGAACTGGTTAGGAAATACGGCTACAGTTCTCAGTTCCGGGTGTGAGTGAAGGGGATAACCATGCGTCCATACCTGCACTGACACACTCACGCCGATACACCCGTAACCTCAAATAAATAAATTTATACTTTAATCTTGTGGTGATTAACATTTTTGTTAAATACGGGTAGCAAGCAAATGTCGATATGGAGCAAGTGGCGGGGAAGAAACTGTCTGGCGAGCATCTTTCATGGAATTATTTCCTATCGAAAGATATTGCAACGGATTCCGTCTGGTTCCGGAATTGAGTTATCACTCTCTTTTTGTCACTCGCTACATGTGGATGTAGAATAGTAGAGAACGAGCCTAACCATGTCCACATCGACATCGGCACCCACACCTAGAGAAGCTGTTCTCATGAGCCCACCCTTCTTTAGTGACGAACTTGCGTCATTTATTGTGCCGGAATAAAAAATAAGAAGAACTTTTTAAATTTATTAGAAAGATGAGGAAACTAGGAAAAACAACGGATTAACAATCACGGAAAAAATGCTTTTACTTTTTTTTACTCGTTGAGAAACACAAAAAGCCTCGTTTGATTAATACAGGAAAAAAACTGAAATTAACATAAATAGAATATTTCTTGTTTATTTACACAGAAACATATTCAACCAGAGAAGCGAGAAAGAAATCATTCTTTTTATGACGTTGTGTCATTATCATTTCGGTGAGATTCATTTTCTTGTTTTTTATCATCTTCTTTCTGATTGATCATCGATTGATGAGGTTCGTTTTGATTCGTTATTATTTTTGCTTTTGATTGATAATATTTCAAAGCATTATTCCATTCATCACGTGGAAATCGCATATGAAAAGAAGAAATAACTGAAATAAAAATAGAAAAATTAGAAGATTTTAATTCTGATCAATTTACTGTCGTCTTCATTCATTGGTGTCGGTTCAGTTATTTTAATCTATTTAACAAAAAACAAAACAAGGAAATAAAAACTATTCGACATAAAAAAAAAGAAAGAAACTCACTTCAATGTAATTCACAATAAGATCAAGTGACATTTCAGTTTGTAGAATAGCTCGTGTTGTTTCACAATCAAAAGAACAAGCAATTAATGTCGGAAAAAGTATATCCATATATTTTGATTCAACAAAATAGCGAAATGGTAAACACGACAGTTGTCGTAATACAGTTGGTCGATTACCAAAAGCTAAACGACACTAAAAGAACAATACCATTGTTGATTTTTAAATTCATTATTTTTTAGATATATTTGAAGAAACAAATACGAACTTGATTATCTTGATTCAAAACACAATAATAACCGATAAGGATAATAATTTGACGTAGAAGATTATCATTCATTGGCGTCGATTGCTGATTACAATGACTAAGAATATGATTTGCAACATTTCGAAGTTGAGGTGAAATTGTGTCTTCACCGAGAGTAGTCTAAAAATCAATATGAACTGTTTAAAAGTCAATATTCAAATATTGAATTCCTACTTGAAATGCATCAAGATCAAGTATTGCAAGTGTATTTAATAAAATCATCGCATTAATTGCAATCACATATGTTTTCTCATGTAAAGTAATCGTACTATTATTTTCCGTATTCATTTGGTTATTATCAGTGTCATGAACAAGAATACCATAGAGTAATGAAAGTATTTCACAAAAATTTGTTGATTTCATTATACTGAGTATTTGAGCTGGATCGTTCGTTGATTTTTTTGATGATTGACCAAATGGAAGTTGACATATTCTAAAAAAACAAAAATAAAAGGAAATTTTCATTTATGAAAAGAAAAAAAAAAGAAACTTCTACTTTGGTTTAGAAAAATAAATCATTTGTTGTAAAAGATTCAATAAATGAATAATCATATCAGGTATACGCGATTTTGTTGTATTAATAATAGCTCGAGCCGTACGAAAAAATGATGCTATACGATCGAGAGCACCAACATTAGCGATATAGCTGATAGAAATAAAGATAATAATAGTAAATAAGAGAAATTTTATTTACTTGATAATATCTGTTAAACGACTTATTGTTAATTTATCTTCATTAGTTTCATTTTCATGTTTTCGAATTTCTTTTACTATTGAATTATACGTTATAAGAAGATCGGCAAGTAATTCGACTAGATTAGTGACTAAATCAATATGTGCTAATTTTTCACTTTCACTTTGATCAAGATTTGATGTTGTTACATCATCAATTTTCAAACCCTAAAATGTCAATAAAAATAAATAATTATTTTATTCTATTAAATTAACTATTATTTTTACAGTTAAATGCCGAATTAAACTTTCAACAAGTGTCAAAATTTTACCACTATTCAATATATACACGGCATTGTCCACATTATTATGTGTTGCCGCTCGATACACTGCAACAGCCAATGCAATCAAACTAAAATTAATCCAATAGATAAATAAATTTTGAAAATTCTAAAAATTACAGATACCTTTCTGGTGCAAGAGCTGGTTTATTCGATTCAGCACGTAATTCAATCATTCTAGTTAATGTTGTATAACCATTGAGACTGAAAAAAACACGTTGTTCAACGGGTACATCCTAATATAATTACTGAAAATTGTTTTATGAGTGTAATTTACGAGTAATGTATATAACCTTTTCATAACCATGTGTATCGAAAATCTTAACAAATTCAGAAAGAATACGTTGACATGCTAAATAATTTGTTGTATTCAATGGTTCTTTTCTTGCTGTTGTATTTAAGGATTTTTCTAATTCATTTAAAAATCGTTGAATACTAACAACATATAAAAATAAAATAATGTAAATATTGGAATCCAATAGTTCTTTACCGTGCTTTATGAGTTGAAGTTAAAAATGGTCGTTGAGAATTTTCAGCTTCATATGCGACCGAACTTGAAAACAAAATAATAAAATCACCATTTGTTTTTAACAAATCTATTTTACCGTTGATTCATTCGAAGGCGTAATTTTTTTGCTCGTTTTTTCATTGTATGTTTTCGTTCTCGATTGTAAGCCATATCTTGTCGTACAATGTCGTCATTAGTAACAACTGTAATACATTCAATATTAAATGTATTCTACAAAATAAATAGTTTTTAACTTAAAAAAAATAAAAAATATAGACATGATCAGTATACAATATCTTCTTGTTTTGGTTGTTTTTTACTTCCATTGTCATTCTTTTGATTGAATCGTTCGACTAACAATTGATTATGACGTGTACCACGTAAATGAGTCTGCAAATGAAGATCAGAAGCTAACTAGAAAATAACAGCAACCATTACAATGCGTGTTGTTTTGTAACAAGAAAAATTAGAACTAACCAACAGATTACAGAGTGTACACAATTTACGAGTTGCTATTGGTTCGTCAGTTGAAAGCATACTAGTTGTTTTACTATCATTAGGTCCAGGTGATCCATGATGATGATCTTCAGCACTTGGACCCCGTAATATACTCATTTCCACTGCTTTTCGACGAATTTCTTCGAGTTGTGTTATGTGCCGTCGAGCACTTTCCTCTTGCTATAGGCACAATAGAAAAAAAATCGACTTATAGATTAATAACAAAAATTCGAACTTTTAATGTTAATTTTTTCTTTAATTCAACAGTTGATGCTTTGAGATAAGCAACATGTTCAGCTCGTTTTTGTTGAAAACTCCTAAAATACAAGTGAAAAAAGTAATCCTTGCTAAATAAATAGATCTATTGTATGAAATTCGAACTGTACTTTTGTTTTGCAATAGCTGCTGTTTGTTTTTGTCTACGCTTTTCAATCAACTGTTGTTCAATCATTCTTTCTTTTGTTTTCCATTTTTCTTGCATTTCATTCAGACGTATTTGTCTTATAGCTTCTAATTCTTTTCGACGATTTTCTGCTGCTAACTCACGTTGTTTATGTTCATCATGCTTTTTAACACGTTCTTCTTCAAGATATTGTTTAAATTGTTCTTCTTTTTGATAACGTTCTTTTAATGTTTGTCGACGATTTTGGTGTTGTAACAAATTAATAAATGCAATTTCTTGACCTTTTAAATCTTCATCACCAGCTTTTTTAGCTTTTAAAAATAATAAATATTGACGTTTTTCTTCTGCTCGATGCAATTTCATTTCAAGCGTTGTTTTACGTGCCTTAATTAATTCTTCTTTCCATTGACGAACCTCATTCACCTTGAAAAAAGAAAATATCTCTTCGAATTAAATTTAATCAGTGATTTTACTCTATGAGTTAATTCGTGCATTTTTCGTGCTTTTTCATCTCGTAAAGTTTGACGTCGTGTGAATGCACGTGCTAAATAAATTATATTCAATAGAGAAAAAGACAATCGTAGTTTCATACCTTGCCGTTCAGCTGCTTCACGAAGAGTTTCACTGAGAGGTCTATATATAGACGAACAAATAAAATCAATTTTGATGAACCAAAATATAGAATATTACCGAATACGTGATGGTGATGATAATTTTTCATGTATACGTAGATGTTTCGTTCGAGATTTCCCATCAGGTTCAGAATCATTATCGTCACGGGATAGATCATTGGGACTCATATCCTTTTCATCGCATTCATCGTGTAATGACATAAAAAAGCTTGAGGTTTTTGTTGTCTAGATAGCAAAAAAAAAGAAACGAATCGATTATTTTAATACAAGAATTTTGTTTTTGCGATTACTGATAGTTCACTTTCTTCTAATTCTGATCCATCATCTGCACCTAACAATAGATCATCATCACTAACATTATTCAATTGATGTTCGAGATCTTCTTGTTCAGCCATTAATGAGGCTATTGTTCGTTCTTGTTCAGCTGCTAATGCTTCAGTTAATGATTCTTCTTGATCAAATGCATCAAATATTTGCTTTAAAAAAAAAAGAAATAAGAAAATTCCAAAATAATTCAAATTCATACTCGATCCATAAAATCAATCATTCCATGATGATTTCGTAAAAGACGTTCATCATCATCGTCATCGTCATCATCTTCTTCATCTTCTTCTGATGTTAAATTTTGTTGATTAAGACGATATTGTGATGTTGTTGATAGTTGATGATGATATCGATGTTGTCGATTAATATTAATTGATTCATCTCGAAGATCTTTTTCATCATCAGCATCAGCTGCTGTTTCGTCTGTTAGAATTCTTTTCTTAGGTAAAAACAATCGATTTGTACTTGCAATCAATGTTTTTGAAGAATCATTGAATGGTGTTGTCGATGAAAAAAATGATGGTAACGAAAGTATACTTGGACTTTCTATCGATTTACGATATTTATTAGATTTTTGCCGTTTAAATTTATTTATATCAACATAATAGTGACGAGAAGCGTTATTTACATTTAAATTTATATCACTGTTATGTAAATATTTTTGTCTTCGTGTGAAATCATCTGAATTAAAAATGTCACCTAATACAAGTAGAAAAATGAAGAATTCATTTTTGAGTATTTTATATTAATTTTATTACCGTTACATACTGATTGGGAATGTTCAAATGGCCTAAAAACAAACAAATATAAAGAGAATTATTTCATGTAAAAATAAAGGGTCAAATTTTCAATTTGTTAAAAGTCATGAAAGAATCAGGCGAACAAGCAGATATGAAAGCATATATAAATATATTGAACAGACAACCTGAAAGATGCTCTTTCTGTTTCAAATGGTAATGCCAATAATGATTGGCTAAGATATTCTCTGAAATTGTTCAACATCGAGAAAAAAACAAATGATTTTTATTTTATTTTAAAAATTTTCACCTTTTCGTTGGGTCCATATTACTATTAAGAGTTGGTGTCAGTTGACATTTTTTCATGAGGACTTCAAAATCTTTACAGTATTGGCAAAGAAATTCGATAACTTCCTAAATATAGATAATTGTTTTTCATGTAATAAGCAAATAAAAGAAGAATATGAAATGATTATTACTTGACATTGTAATGGATCTTGATCTGTTTCACATGTTTCATAGATCTGTTCAATAGATCGTTTCAAATTATCAAATAAAAACATCCAATAACGTGAATACAAATTTGACGGCATTAAATCTGATTGATGAGATGGAATATCATTATTGGAACTCCTATATATATATATATATATACGTATATAGATTAACATTTCGATTATGAGTGTGAAAATAGAAAAATATCTGTTAAAATTTTGACCAATTAGAAAACATGCTAACATCATTTATTCTCAATGAAAGAAATCGAAAGTCTAGAATTATATTTTCGTATCAATAATAACTAAAAAATATTCAAATAAAGATTCGTCCTTGATGTACACAAGTAAATTTATATGTAAAAGCCTTGGAATTCGAAATTTGAGCTGAGCTTTACTTAACGTTGAACAAATACAATGAGAAAGTACTTCATACGCACTAACGTGACTTTATTCGAATATAATTCAACACTTTTTCGGAACGTCATTGTTAGTTAGACTTAATTGTAACAAACAAAAAAGTTATTTCCGATTTATTTTTATTTGAAAATAGATAATAAAATACAATCACATGATTTTACCGAATGGTAGCTTGTAACAATGGTTCTTGTTGAGGAGTAGAAATATTTGTCATCTATAAAATAAAGAAATTCAATAGATCTCGATGAGGAATGTTTTTATTTTTCGATCACAAAATGATCAACCAAGAATATGTCAAGGAAACACAAAAGAAAAGGAAAGAAAGATGTAACACATAATCATCTGTACCATTCACAATGTACTTATACAGAAAGAAAAAAATAATAAAGAACCGAGCTAAACACTAGATCTGACTAGTCATCCGTATGTTGAAATAAATTGGCTAAACCATGATCATCTTCATTATCTACATTTGATTGTTGATGATGTTGTAAAACTGGATGAAGTGAGCGTTTTGAAAACCGTATTAATGGTGGTAAATTATTGAGAGCTAATGGTTCACGTTTAAACATTTGTGCAACATTTTGACCCATTAATGGTTGTACTAATTGTTTTAGAATATCTCGTTTTTGTTTATCACTTAATGGTTTACCACTGACTTGTCGTAACATTTTATCACGATAATTATTTACTTGTTCATTTGTAACATCAGGTATTTCCATATGAACACTATCAAATAGATTCGATGATGTTTGTTGAAATGTATCATACATCAATGTAGCTAACGAAAGTAATGTACAAGCAATGGGTTCATTGTCACCATGAATTTTAAGTGCACATAATATATAAATATAAAGTTGTCTTAAAAAATCATTATTACCATTGATTAATATAGACAGGTGCTTGACTAATGCTTGACATATTTGTGCCATTTTTGTTACTGATGATGTATCTGGCCATGAAAGTCCATCGAAAAGAATTAATAAGCAATACTGACAAATTATTGGCGAATCTTGTAGAACTTTTAGAGCAAAATCACTTGGCATCTGGTGATAACGAGTTTGTCCTGATGGTTTACGTGATTGTTCATCGGTAGTGATCATTATCTCATCCATACTTGTTTCGTCAATATCATTTCCATTGCTCAATTGACCTAGATTATCACTATTGTTGTGTTGACGTATTAATAGATTTTTGATGACACCAATAAAATCACGAGTTAAATAGCATGTTACCTATCAAGGAAAGAGAAAAACAACATCAGTAAGTTTATGTTGAATAAAAATATCGGTAAGACATTTGTTTTTGTTTATATCAAGTATTTATTTTACTAAAATCTATTCATATTATTTTGAATGATTGTTTTTTTTTTATTAAAGAAACAAATATTTTGTTGATCTAATACCGATTGGTTTAAATTTTCCTATTCTAAAACTTTGCAATCTCTGATGCTGCATCGACAGCTAGGTACACTATTGCTAGAAAATATCTGACTCGATTATCATCAAAATATTAGTTGGTAGTCTACAAAAAAGAAATGTTTTTTTACCTGTTCTTCGATTACTTCTTCTTCACATCGTTCTTGTGTTTGATATAGATTATCATTACTCTCATGAATATTTCCATTAGTAACTTTTATACTTTGTCTTTCAGTAATAATTTTCCATTTATCCTTTAATTTTGTATACATAAATGGAAGTAAAGATTCAAATATAGGAATCATAATTGTAGACATAGGACAATGTCGAACAAATGGTAAAAAACAATAACGCACGATATTTTGTAAACGAAAGTCAGGTATATACTCGAGCGAGGAAAATAATGTTGTACCAATGATATTTAATGAATCTTTTAATTTATATAAATCAGGTTTCAATGTTAAATAGGTTCCAATTAAAATTTCCAATCGATCAAGAAATGATGAAAAACGATTATGTAAACGACGATCATTTGTAGATAAGATTGGCGAATTTGTTTGAGTTGTTGATAATATATTGGCATCCTCATTATTATCTTGTTGTTGCAGGTAAACTGCTTTATCGGCATCGGTCATTGTCGATAGAAATGACAATGATGATTTTGATAATGGAGAATCAGGTGAATGTAATGCATGACAATAAGTTAATAGTTTAAAAAAACAATGAGTTAGTTGAATAAAACTAGGTGCAGCTGGATTGCGAATGTATACAATTCCATCGAAAGTTTCTTGATAACCACCGTTGGAACATATGGTAGGATCAGTTGGAAGCGTTATACGACGTAAAAGACCACAAAGAATATGAATACTGAGAAAAATGAGACGTTGATTACTAGCTGATATTGCTATAAATAAGAATCAATGGATTTTTTGTATATTAGATTATAAACTGTTATTTAGAAAAGAAAAGAAAATTTGAATATATGCGAAGAATACATTTTTCTTCCTGCTCTTCCGAGTACTCGTGTTGCTGAACGTAACCTCGTACCAATAAATGAAGTAGAAAAAAAAACTTGCTATTTTAGTTTAATATAAAAATTTAATGCATTTGGTCTTTATTGCTAAGTAACTCTGGCAAGTTTTTATTCAAGAATTCGCTGACATCATTCGATAAAAAACGGAAATTACAATAAGAATTAGATAATGATATTCGTTCAGATTACTAACAATACTCCTTAAAGTTCCACATCCACACCCTTCTTTTGTACTTACCATCAGGTGTTGGTTTTAGTCCAATGTAATCAATAAAGCTTCGTAAATCATTCACATGTAAATCAAATTTACTTAATATTTGTGCAAAAGGTTGCACAAGTTCATTAATAAAAATAGCTTTTTGTTCAAATGATTCAAAATGATTCAATAGTATAGCTAAACATTCGACTAATATACTCCATTGCCAACCAGCAAGTTTAGTTTGTTGTTCCATCGATGTTTGTTGTCGAACTAAATCCTGTGTTACTTTAAACAAATCATTAAAATATATAACTATTGTATGACCATAATTTAAACAAAGATCAATTAAACAGCTTGCTTGTTTTTGTAATGGATTCGATTTTGGTACCATTTGTCGTTCAGTTGTTATTGTACGAAATAGATGTTCAAGTATACGTTGTGTCCATGTATTTTCACCACGAGTAAACACGTATAAATTTGTTAATAAACGTAATGAATAAGCAAGAAATTCCAGATTATTATCATTATTGATTGATAATAATTTTTCAATTAATGCTTGACCACGTTGACAAAAAGATAATTCATCTGTACTAGAAAGTAATTTTCTATTATTAAATGGTTCTAAAGGTTTTAATAATAATCGTAAGTGTTTTTCAATGATTTGCCAATAGGAAACAAGTGACTCGAAAAGAAGAAGATTTTGAATATTGACTGATTGAAAACAATAATCAGCATAATCAAAACCAATACGTATTGCTATAGATAAATGTTCACTTGTGTTACATATAATGTTAATTGATCGAATGAGAATAGCACGATTTTTACCAATAAATTTTTGATAATCAGGTTCATCTTCAAAATCATGATGAATGTAAGATAATGCTACGTCTATAAAACAAAAAACCATCGTGAAAGAGAATGTATTGATTTTCTCTATTTTTGCATTCATATATAATTCTAGAGAAAACTTTATCAAGTTCTAAGTTTTTCGGTCAAGGATATCGATGATATTAGTGTAGACATTTAGAGATCAAAAATAAAAATAAAATAAAATAACATGCGCAAAAAGAAATTACGCATATCCACTCAACATATTAGTGCAATTTCAAAAACAGTCATGCCGTATGGAAATGTTTGCTTTTGTTCATGACTAATAAATTAAGCATGTGGGTGATGTTATTTCATGATTAAATATGATGACGAGAAAATATCATAGATAAACGTATGACATTTTTTGCGACTTTTATTTGTTTTTATCGGATCTAAACTTTATTATTCTTGCCCAAAAGACGATTCCACACTTCGAAAAATTATAACTGATAACAATCAGTAATCTTTATTATGCAAACGATTTGCAAATCATATTTACCTATTAAACAAAAGAAGATCAATTATTCGTCTCAATAACATTTTTCATCTAAGCTCAAGGTCAAATACACTGCCTATTGCATTAAGTGGTATAAGTGTTACAATTTTAACAATGTACTAAAACTAAAAATAGTATCACATACTATTAGTTTTTCTCGTTAAGTGATCAGTGAGAATTTTAATTTTTACAGTTCATGTTGTTAAATGATAGCCTTCCTAACCTTGAAGTATTCACAGACATATGTTGCTCTTTCGATTCACTAAGTAATTCAACTTATGTCTAATAATGGTTCTTTTTTTTTCTCTTTTGAGGATTAATATTATCCGACCTTATTCAACTGAAGATCACTATGAATGTTTTAATGATTTAGAAGAGTACACTCCTCGTGTTGAATTATGCTACAAATATTTAAAAAATATTAATTCTGCTGTTTTGCATTCAAGAAAAGAAACTCGATTCTAGTTCTTATGTTGAATAAAACCGTAACCATACAAATAAGGCAAAGATAGGTCGAATAATATAAAATCTTCATATAGTAATTACATATGAAAAGATGTTAAATGTTGTTAAGGTTATTATTTTCTTTTCATATAAGAAAAAGAGCTCTATGATTGATGTCATTGATATAATTCAAGGTCGTCGTAAACAGAAGTCAAAAACGCGTATAGATCATGATGCCCTTAACGCGCAATACCTTCGTTAAGTACATCAAAATTTCTTTCTTTTTTTCTTTCACAAGCATTTCATTTAACATACTCATTTGAATCGAATTTATTTTTGTTTATTTACCTTGTCCATCATTAGTTTTCTTATATGGTTGTTTCACCAACGAATGACATAAAGCTCGAAAAATAAGAGGTAAAATATTTTGATAATCATTCTCTTGAATTATATTAGCTCTAACTAATTGTAACCACATTTGATAACCATATAATGCTATATAAATACTTGGATGTTGCATTAATGCTAATAATAATTGTAAGAATATACCGTTTGAACATTGTTCAGGCAGCGGAGCCTTTTTATTTAAACCTTCACCACCACACAAGTAACATAATTGATCACATAATGCTGTAATGACCATTGCATATTGTTTCATAAAATCGTACATATCATTGGATTGTTTAATGTCAACAGTTGAATATACATCATTATAATGTGAACCATTTTGAAATAAATATAAAAAAAGCTGTAACAATGGTAAGCGTTCTTCATATTTACCACGACGATCTGAAATAACACTTAAGAATTCTGCTGCTTTCATTCGATGTATTGGTGAATTAAGTAAGAGAACAATTTTATGAATAATTTTTGTTGTGAAAAATAAATCAATTGGAAGAAATGTTGCAAACATTGTTAATGCATATAATGAACTTGATATTGTATTTGGTAAATCAAGAAAATATTCAATAAATTCAACAAGTTTATTTCCATGTTGTAATAATGTTGTTTGAATATCTCGTTTACGTATTGAATTTAATGTTTGAAGAACAATAACATCTTCAATAAGATAAGCTAATATTAATAATGAATAATCATTTGTTTTTAATTTTGATAATGCAACAAGTTCATCGAGAAACAATGGCCATTGTTGAGGCCATTCACGTTTTGCGATTTCACAAACACATCGAACTAAAATGCTAAATGAAACAAAAGAGAAATAGTAAATTCGTGTTTGGTGGTTTTTTTCTTATCTCTTACGTTTTAAGATGAACAGGTAATTGATCATGTTCAGTCATCAGTAACCATAAACGTTCTTTAATTGATAATTTCAATTGTGAATCAAGTGATGTCCATTTATATTTTATTGTTTCCTCAATACATTGTAGACCGAAATGTTTAACCAATGGATCGAACAATTGATTTTTATTGAAAAATTCAAAACCAATTGATATTGACTGTATTGGATTTGATTTAATTTCTTCGACAAATTTGTATGCTTGTTGGCGATGTATTGGATCTGACGATACACATGATAGAACAGCTGTTTCAATTCGACGTAGAAATTCAAGATGTGTCATTGATCAAAAACACAAAAAATTAATAAGCTTTTAAATCAAATAAAAGAAACAATTTTCATAATCAGAAATTTTATCAATGAATCATCTCGTTATTTTATTGGATTAAAAATTGAACCAATAAGAAGTGTGTTGTTTGAAAATAGTTGAAAAACTATTGATTGGACGTTGACATGAAAATCAGCTGTCTCTCTTTCGTATTGAATTACTACTATTTGCTGCACGACGGTCTTTATTTGTTTAGATAGAAAGAATGACTTTACGAAGGCTAGAATACGATATTTGAATAGAGAGAAATTTTTTTTTCAAAAATACAATCTAATGACACTAAAGAAAGAATATGTAGACACAGCTGTTCCAATGGTGTGATTAGTTCCCCACCTTGTTTTGATGTTTTTTCATTTGCTTTATCCTTTATTTTAGATTTTTCTAGTTTATGATGACGATTACCTTCTTTTATCAAAAGGCTTTCTACCATATGCACGTAGTTACTTTTTGAGTAAGATATCCTTGAAAAAGAATTATTTGATAAAAAGTATGAAATTTAAGTATTTATTAGTGTTAAGTATCTATGTTGAACATAAAGTTTTTTTTTCTTCTTCTTTATAATCATCTATTATCATTATCACCTTTACTTTTTTTGTTACATATGCATATATATATATATGTATATGTGATATAAGGCACGTAAATGTGATCATTTTTAACTATCTGTGTGTCTCTTATTATTTTGTGTATCTGTTTGAGGATGATATTTCGACGACGTATCTTCATAATGATGTCCTTGTTCGATCATTGATACAAATCGTTGTCGTAACTTTTTTTTCGTCAACGACAACGACAGAAAAACGAAAGAAGAAGATATGTGAACCATCAGTTGAAGGGCACATACGTACGCGCGCCTATACCATTTGATTACTATCAAAAATGAATTGATGGCGAATGAGTAAATAAAAACCTTGAGGATGTTTTGCTTCTATGTCTATTTTTCTTCGACATTACTTTGATCAAAACTTATCGAGCGGATTATCGACTGAAAACAATATGATAAAAATAGAACAAAAGATAAGAAAAATTCAGCTGAAAACCCCATGTCTAGTCTTGATATGGGCGAATAAATAGGATATTTCTATATGATCCTTTGGTAGAATGTATATCATTTATGGATGAATGGGATGACCCATCTTGTTCTATTAAGAGGACATTTTATGATAAGGACGTTCGCGTAATCAAACAAGCTGTGCTCTTCTTTTTTTTCTTTTTTCTTTTTCTTTCGTTGTTTCTTCATTGATCTTCGCCAGATGATGTGCACATTTCTAACCCTTTTCTATCACCAACCAATACTACTACTACTACTATACTACTACTAGTATTATTAGAAGACACAATAGACCCCCTTAGAAAAAAAAGATACTATATCATCTTACGAACAAACAGACAATACATTACGTCCGCATAACTTTTAAGGTCGGATTATTTGATTTTTTCGCATGTAAAAAAGAAAAAACCTTAATACAAGCAATTTAGTTGCTCAAAAATAGGCTTTTTCAATGCAATATCTTGCAATTCAAATACTTTCCCTATTCGAACTTGACTCATTTTTCTTACGAAAGGACATTGTCATCTCATTGCATGATTTTACTTATTCTTTCCGTTCTCTTGTAGATCATTTGCGCGCACACACACCATTTTTTTCATTTAATCTATTCAAATCGACGGTGTGTGTTACAGTTGCTACGTTTTTCACTTCTTCCTTTGTGTCTGAAATCTTTGGTTTGATTTTAAAATTTCTTGTAAATACTACATATAAATGTTTGCATACGAACAAATATCAATAATTAAGAACTTTTTGTTGTGAAAAGGTATGTTTTTCATATTTCATTAAGAATAAAATTATTGCAAAATTAATTTCAACTAGCTATCTAAATTTTCTCACATAGAACATGTTTTTGTATTTTCGTTTGCGTTTCTCACTTCATCTTCTTGTAATGTTGAGACGCAAAACAAAACTGCTATAAACGTGATATTGAGATTGGGGCGTGTGGCGTACATGCACATAGTCTTCTTTCTTTCTCTTATGAAAACGTTTATAAGTTGATGAAAAAAAACCGAGTTGGCAACAATGACGAAAAGAGGAGAAGAAGAACACACGTCATAAATATAGTGAAAGTGTGCAGGACCGATTTGCATGCCGATATAAAAAAAATGAGCTGAAGGGAAAGAATACGCAAAATATATGTTAAATATATATTTATATATTTACACATTCTTTCTGAAATCCAGACATATCGAATTAATCAAGATCGAATATAAATGGTAAAGAGATTTTATGTAAGTGCTCTTATAATAAAAAAACATATATCAACAATAACAAATTTGAGACAAGTTAGATTAGAGAATTTCTAAAAAAAAGGAACATTAGCCCTGATATCCGTCTTTAGAACAATTTGTTAAATTAATGAGGGGAGGGATGAAAAGTTGATTATTTGTTTACGATTTGTGCATAAGCAATTGGTATATTCCTATATTATTTCATGATATCTAATGAGGTGAATGGGGTCGCATGGTCGACTCAATTTATCTTTTTTTTTCTCTATTCCTTTTCTCCTTATTCTTTTTTAACAAAACGACTAGAAAAAAAAACAGATGAAGACGAGATGAGAACAAAATAACAGTGTTGTTCTATTTATCGTTTGTATTGTTATCTTATACAGATGTGTAGCAATATTTTGTAAGTATCATCCGCTTCATGGCATTGACCTATCTGATTCCATGATAAAATTACCATGTTTTTCGAGAAGCTTATTAAAAGCTGTTCTACGTAAAATAGACATGTATCAGCTGGATAGAAATAAAAAAGGAAAAGAAAAATATATTTATATTCATTTGATCATTAATCATCGACAAACAGTCTATTAACTTGGATAATTTGCTTTCTTATTACGTTGCTCATTGAGATATTTTTAGAGTGATTTAATATATTAAACTGATTTCTAGCATGTTACGATGGCATCGAAAAAAGAAAAAGCTTTTGACAAAATTAGTTACTAAAATAAAATAGAAGCCAAGCAAAACGAACACATGTTCATGTAATACTCTTTTACTCAAGGTTTATGAAGTAGCATGTTTTGTTTTATTTGTGCGACTTTCTCAATAGAATTCTTCTTTTTTTTCTTCTTCTTCTTCTTCTTCTTCTTCCTAAGTAGATAAAATATGGACAATAGCTCTTGTTCTTCTTCATTTTTTTCCTTCTCTCTTTTTCTTGACAATATCTAATAACGACAACAGCAAAAACATAAATCGTGCGTTTGATTGTTGTCTGTATTCTTTCGACGAACAACAGGAGCAGCAACACCTAACATATTACGAGAGGAAAGAAGGTAGAGGAAAGCAAAATGGCTAGAGAAAGGCAAGAAGAAGCTGTCTTTTTCTCTCTGCCGTTTTTTTTTCTTTACCATATACGTGATGTTCGATGAGAATTGACGCACATCGCGTACGGCGGCTGACTGCCCTCTCTCCCTCTCTATTTCGAATACTACTGCATCTGCTCCTATCCGTATGATTAGGTGAAAAAAAGAGAGTAAAAGAGACGATGTAATTTTTCTCTTATTCTATCACATAGTCTTTCTTTTTCTTCTGCATTTTTTTTTGTTGACTACCTTGAAAATACGATGACCATTATATGATGTTATTGTTATTTTAGCCATGGTGGTCGATATTGCCCCACAGCAACAGCTGACTGAGGTTTTCACCACTAATCATTGCCATCATCGGTCATCATCATCATCATCATCGTCATCGTCATCGTCATCGTCAACACATAGACGAAGTTCAACAACGACAAATAATGCATCTTCATCGGCATCAAATAATAATACAATGGCGAATGGACATCGATTATTGGTAGAACTAAACAACATTCATCGCTCTTGTGTATTAAAAAAAATTTACTTTATCTTTTCTTCTAGTCTGATGAACTTGGCAAAAAAGCTGAACAAATTCTTGGACATGCAACAACTATTTTAGAGTGTCGTAGACAAATTAGTATAGATTTTCATGCCCAACATCCTCCTCGACTGAATATTACGTAAATATCGTTGTGTTTTATCCAAGAAACAAAAACCTATTTATTCATGTTCTAGTACATCTAAACCCAATATACCACCACGTAATAATATATCAAGTATGATTTCTTCAACTACTGTAAATAATCCATTGACAATTACACCTTCGATGTTGACTAATACGGTTATTTCTGATAGTTCAAGTGGAGTAAGTTGTGTTGAATAGATTCAATAGTAGATTATTACAACTGTTATTTTATTTTGTTTAGAAAAGTAAAAGTTCGGTTATTGTTGAACGCCTTGTTCCACTGGTTTTAGAAGTAAATTAATTTTATCTATATATGACTTTTGGTAGTGAAAAAAAATTGATTTATTTTAATAGCTAGTCTCAACACCTAAGTTTAAGACGTTACCTGAAAGAATATCTAGGCGTCAATCAAATTCAAGTAAGTTAAAAAGAATCTATAAATCAGATCTTCGAATTTTGGATAGAATAATCACATTCCATTCTATAGCATGAGAAGTTTCTTTTTTCAAAATATCCCATGTCATGATATGGGACAAACCAAATCATCCCGTGGGATGATTTTTTTCTCGGCGTGTTTCATTCTATCCCATTCGAAGCTCCGATAAGAAAAAAAAAATTTATAAAACATCTTGTTTTATTTTTAGAACCTTTAAAAAATGTTATGGAAAGGTAATTTAATTAATTACACCAGAAAAGAAAAACAAGACTATTGAAACAATGATTTTTTATTTTCATTTAGTCGTGAAATGGCTCTTGCTTTACATCGAGAAAGTATTCTAAAACTCAGTGATGATGAGAATGAAGAAGACGATGATGATACTCTCAATAATACAAATACAGTATTGACTGAAATAATTGACATTAAAATGGATAACAACAGCATAAATCAAAATAATAGTAATGATAATCATCTTCCTCATTCATATGAGAATCAAATGTAAATTATTAAAAGAATCATTTTCATTAAAGAGATTGAGAATCGAACAATTTTTTTTGATTTCTAGTGAACCCCAACATTCCGGTATAAGTAGTAGTCCGTGTCAAGAAGATGGAGACAGTGAAGATGAAGACAGTGATAATCAAGAGGCTGCCCACAGTGATGCCGAGAATGATGAAGGAACAAATGAAACGGTTCGTTGAGAAATGTTCATCAAATAACACAAAACTTTGCTCGTTGTATATTTAGAATCCAGATACATTATCATTAATGGATTTTGTACGTGGAAAAGAAACACTTTCTGAACCTGTTAATGCTTCATTAAATCATTCACCAGAACCGTTATTAAATATAAATAAACGAAGCATACTACCTGAAATACAATGTGAAAGTGATAATTATGTACATAATTCTGAAAATCATCAAAATAAACGTAAAAAAATACTTATCAAACGAGCATTATTAAAATCATTTATATCATCTGTAAATACTAAAATTAATTTAAAACGGCCTTCACTCTCAATAGCTATTCCGACACATCTATTTTTGGATCAATCACTATCTGATTTCATTAAACAAGGTATTTTTTTTCAACAACGACAAAAGAAACGAATGTTTATCGCATTCATTTGTTTTTCTCCCTTTCAAATAGATGACCAACTTGTCGAAAGATCACAACGAATATCAAAAAGATATTCTGACGGTTTACTCAAACATGATACAAATGTAGAAGTAACCGATGGTTTATCTCAGCCTTCAAGCTCTTCATTGAACAATCAAACAACATCAAATGGTACACATCTAAAAAAGTCTAAAACTAGTCATGTGCAAGAAAAATCTTTGTACAAACAAGATCCAACAACGACTCCTTCAACAGCAACAACTATAGAAAAGAATGAGACAACCTTAATTTGCAATACGACTTCAACAAATGATTTAGATAATAAAGCCCGTCCTGCATCAATATCGACAGCAAATACCACGAGTGTCACTCCAATTACAACAGTGCAACCTAAAAAAGAAAAACCAACCGCTAAGTAAGTTCAGACGAAATTCTTCATTGTTTAGATAATTAATAGATTCGTTCTATTCGTATCGAATTTGTAGTAATGACCCGAATAGGAAAATACCGATATTAAATTTAAAAAAAGCTTAAATCAAGATAGATTTTACTCGAAGTTATCTGAATAATTTAACGGTAATTCTGTTTTTTGTTTATTTTATAGTGTTCGACCACTTCAACAATCAGCATCAATTGATAATTTATCTTCGACTAATGCAATAAATAATAGTCTAAATATACCTGAAGGTTTAGCGACAACAAATACACGAACAATGCTTCCATCGACCAAAGCAAATTATAATAAATTAAAGTATGATTATCAAATAGAATTCTTTTTTTTCTCCGTATTAACTAATAAAAGTTCTTCGTTTAGAAACATGTCAAAAGTGGATTTAGCGTCATTAGCACGGAAGAAAAAGAAACAAGCTGATCATGGTAAACGTTCAACATTCGAAGAAGCACGAGAAGCTATGGGCCTCTATCTTGAATCGGTTTGTTATTTTATTATATGTGCTAATGATGAACCGAAACAAGATCAACGTAGTGCATTATTAACAACAACATTGACCATGTTACAGTAAATAACTAACTAGAAAATGTTTCATTCATTCATGCATGCATTTCTTTTTAGACAACTTGCACAAAATCATAAAAAAATGTTTTTTTTAGCAAATTCAAATCAATCGCGTGATTTATACAGTCTTCAACATAAATTTCTTTTAATCAAGTAAGCAAAAATATAAATAATTTACTTTCAAAAAGCAAAACAAATAATTTTTTCTGTTTCAGCTATTGGCTTCAATCGTATATTTATCATTTACATTTTAATACCAATATGCCAACAATTGAACGCTATGCTAATCAAGTAACTGAGTATTTTAATCAATTAAAGAATCCTTCATCGGCTGCATCCTTAACAAGAACAACAAATATGAATATACAGCTACAATCAACACTTATGAATGATAATAATCCAATATCACCATTATCAACAACATCACAAACAAGTTCATCAGATATAAGTACAACAAGTGGAAACAATCAAAATGAACAACATCGCTATATGTTTGATTTCTCAAAATCTATGTTAAATTCTTATTATTCAACATATTATTGGAATAAAGCAGAAATTTTAATGCGTGAAAAGCCACTCAAAGGTAATAAATCAATACTCGGTTGACATAGATCTTAAGTATTTTTCTTTTGTTCATTCTTTTGTTTCTGTTCGATTAGAATTTATTGAACAGTTGTTGAAACAAAATCAAAATCGACATCTAACACGTGATGATACAACATTAAACTTTATACTGTATATTTTTGATGCCATCGAGTTGTTACGTTTAAGTGTTGCCTGATATGAAAAAGAAAAGAAAAGGACAACAAACCAACAAAATATCCTCCGTGCTTTCTCTTTCTTCCTCAAACTTTGTATATCTCAGTTTATTTATTTGCCTTTTTGCATGTGCACTGCGCGCACATTGGTCTCTTTTTACACGTCCATAGACAGTTTTTTTCTTGTTTTCTCAAGCAGCTGATATCTATTTTTGCGCTTTAATCTTACATAATCATCTTCCAGTTAAGTTGAACATCACCATGCGTATATATATACATATACATATATATATATATATATATATATCAATGTATGTATACTCCGGTTCAGTTTGTTTCATTGTTTGTTTGTTTTTTTGCTTTGTTTATGTGCGTATGTGTGAATTGATCTCGATTTCTATTTTTCCTTGAAGTTGATGATTCCACTCTAGTTGTGTAAATGTATATCTTATTAAAAAAAACATTTAACTATTATATCAACCATTTTGACACTTGTTGTTTGTGAAACAGAACAACGTTGATACACGTCCGGAGAGTTTTTGCTCGTTTTCTTTTTGCTCGTTGTATCATGTGCTTGCTGTGTCGCGCATATTTTCTTATAAAACCTGTTTTTCTTTGCTGTCTGACTAATTTTCATTCTTTTTTTCCCTCTATTGTCTTCATTACTCCAGAATGTAATGTTTTGAATGCGTGTATGATGATGAAACGTAGAAGGCATAATAGCCGCAAATCATTCTACCCTTCCACGTATCTTTAAGTAGACATGTAGTTTTTTCTTCTCTATTTCGAAACATTCAAAAATACAAACACAATCGACGACAACACCGGTGGTTGATTACCTCTGCCTTTGTACTGCTGATATATCAATCGTTTTAGAATGTCTTTAACTATATAAAACAAGGATACATCCTGTTGTATTTGTATGTGTATATGTCTTTGTCTGTTTGTTCTTCTTTTTTTTCATGTGTCTTTCACCAATCATCAGATCCTTTTTAACTCTATATCTATCTACCTATCATTATATCTCTCTACACGTGCTTTTATGCCCACAATGAGTTGTTGTTTTGTATTTGTTGCCTGTGTCTATTGAAGATTAAGAAATATATCTTGATTCTTGTTTTTTTTTAGAAGAAACCACTATGAGAAAAAGTGTTTGAAATTTGTTCTTGTTATTGATGTTGTTTTTTTCCTGTTGTTCTTGTTCTTCTTTTTTTTTTCTTTTTTTTCTGGCTATGATCGATATACACAAATAAAAAAAACAAGCACAAAAAGAGCCAATAAAAAAACACAGATGCGTAGTTTGTTTTTATTTTATTTTCATACTCTTTTTTTGTAGCGTTATTCATCATTGGGAGAAGTAGGCGGGACCTCTAGAATTATTTAACATAGACTAATATCCAGAACGCGAGTGTTTTTTTAATGAAAATCTTTGAAATCAGAGGACGCTATATAGATGACTTTGAAAAGTTGTAAGACGAGGGTGTCACTCTTCAATGGTCATATTTAACGGCACTTTTGTATATACTAATCAATAATTTGCATATCGATGTTCTCATATGTCGACTCCTGCGAGATGAAAAATATAATAGATGTATATAAACATGTACAACTATGCAATTATTTTTGTTAGAATAAAATATAGGTATGATATCCAAATTGATTTTTTTTGTATGTTTCAGATATTGTCTTTGGCGCGAGTAATACTTCATCATGACTCGTGGCAATCAGCGGTAAATCTATTAAAACTGATGATTACTATAACTAGTTCGAATCTTTTAGCGATATTGCCAGAGAAAAAAATTCAAAAAATCAAAAAAAAGGTCTTTCATCCTCTGAAATGGACGGGAACAAAGGTTTGTCATTGCAAGAGCGTCAAATACGTGATGCGGCAAAGTAAACGTCTAATTGACACGCATAGAAAAAGTAAGATTTGCGTCTGTTTTCTATTTAGAATGCGTGAGAAACAACAATTAGCTCAACAGAAAAAAGAGGGTGGAAATAGTGGCGGTGGTAATAATAATGCATCAAGTGGTGGAGGAGCAGCAGCAAGCACAACAGTTCGCTAAAATAGATTTAATTTTGGCGACCAACGTTTTAAATTGACGTTTTTTGTGTTCTTTAGTTGAAAATCAATTTATTTCATTTGTCTCTAATTATTCATCTTCTTGATGTGTTACCATTAACTCGTATTATTTCTATTTAGCAAAAATTTAACAATTTACTATTCTTTTTTCTACTCTATAAACTAACATGTTCAATATAAATATGATATCGATAGTGCTACAATGTTGTTCTAATCTAGCAATATATCTATATCTATATCTAACTAAAAGTATATCAACTTGCTTCATTTTTTCTTATAGATTTGTATGATTGATCATTGTAAATATTCTGATGCTTAACATTTTAATGCACAAAAATAGATGGCCATAATAATGTCAAATTATATTTAAGTATTATACTTTTTCACGATTATTATTCAAACAAATTAAAAAAAGCTTTCCAAACTCTTACTTCGAACACAACTTATCAATTAGTACGTAGAAAATTCATAATACTATTGGATAGCTTTTAATTCTTCCTTTCTCTGAAAATATAAGTTGACAAAGTCATTGTGATTTAAATAGAATATATATTGATGAGTCATAAAGACTGTAAGATTAAATAAGAATGATAGTAGTTCCCATCGGATACTAATTCTTGTCAAAACAAAAACATATGAAGAACGCCGATTTTAAAGATCTATTATAGTTAAAGATTTGTTAGTATGCATTCGATTTTGAATGAAACAAGAGTGTACTCGAAATCATGCGATATAGCTATGGAATAAAACTCAAAGGATTAGTTTATCGGGAAATTTTGTTTAATTGTTTTTCAAGGAATAGTAAATTTCAGTGCAGTCCAAATTTTACCTGTAATCCTTTGCCGCAAATTACACCCACACCTTACTATTCATCTAAATGATTCTGCCCACTCATTTAAAGACAATATGAAAAATGTAATAGCTTCGATCAATACATATATCTTAGTACAATCATTTCGCGTCCACGCTCTGATAGTTGTATGTCATACGTCGTTTCAATTCTATTGCGTGCGTCGTTCGTAGATAAACCATAATTTTTCTTAGTATACATGCCAAATGATTAATATGATGCTTTGTTTTCTTTGTAGTTAGATGTGATTGAATGATGAAATCCTTCTTCCGCCGTTATCAACTTTTTATCGTTAACATCGTATCTGCATCAGGACTTCTTGCTACCAGTGATCTCTTCGTACAAATTCTATATGAAAAACGAGAAACTATAGATAAAAAGCGTTTTCGTATGTGCATAAGCTGTTCATCATTTGTATAATGTAAATCAAATTTTTTTCCAATTAATAAATTTTAGTAGCCGCTTTGGGTACAGGAGCGGTGATGGGCGTTGAAGGTCATATCTGGTACTCATATATCGATCGCGTGATGGCTCAACGAACATGGCGTGATGTATTCAAAAAAGTAGCTATTGATCAAACTATTGGCGCACCATTTTATGCACTCACCTATATTGTTGGTAAGAAGAATATCTGTAAAGCTCATAGATAGTCGACTACTTCTTTTTTAAAAGAAAAACTTCTTGTATCATGTTCTCCATATAAGACACGCTCCATTTCTGTTATTATTTCATACAGTTAATAAGGCTTCAACATATCAGATGACTATTGCTCCTTCTACTTGATCTCTAGTAATCTCTTTAATAGCCGAACTAACACCACTAAATCTAATGACAAGACGATTTTCGAAATAAAAACAAGTAGTAAGCTATCTTCAGTCTTACTTATATATGAATATTATATTAACTAAAACTTCTTTTCTGTTTATCAAGGAACTTCTATTCTCGAAGATAGAACGTCATCTGCCGAATTAACCAGTGATATCCGAAAGAATTTCTTTCCGCTTTATCTCGCCGATTGTTTGATATTTGCACCGATTCAGTTGATAAATTTTAAATATGTTCCAGCATTCTACCGTGTTCCATTTTTGTCACTGGCTGCATTTGTCTTCGATGCATTTATTAGTGCCTACAAACATGAAGAGAAACCAATGACAGTTCCTGAACAAGCTTAATCGTTGTGACTTATTTTGTTGCTAGGCAAACAGTGAATATAGAAAATTGTTATTTATCAATGAATCACATTTTCGACATCTTATTTTTTCATTAAATCATACATCTATGCGAAAGGGTTTCATCGAATACTATTTTATTTTTCTGTGATTGATAGTTTCAGATTACTTCATAAAAATGTTCGTGAGCTCAATACTCGAAACTATAGAATGATCGACAAATGATTCGTTCACTTTTGCAATGAGATGCAGATCGATACTGTAGCTGTCGAATCTGGAAACACTTGTTATAATAGATTGATATTATTGACTTTCTTGAATAATTATTTCGATAGTTCACGAAAATAAAACCGGAAAACCAATATTCGAATCATTGATTCTTCGTTTGTTCAAAATGAAAGCGCATTGTATCGAGTTCGAATATCAATCGATTGTTCAAACTTCAGATTTCTCGATAGATAATTCATTTTTTCACTTTTCAAGGTTAAATTATTATTTTTAGATCAAGAAAACAGATGTCAAGCGAAGAATTAACTGATGATCAGGATTATGACAATGGTTCGTGCGAATGTGGTCTATTTCATTCGCTACCGCCTGAAATATGGTCAATAATTTACTTCATATTTATCACTATTTTCTAAATATCTATTTGTTTTCAATAGGCTAAATTTATTTGGTTATATATCAGCCGAGTATATAATTGAAAAATTGAGTCTTGTTTGTAAATCACTTCGTACTTTTATTCTATCATCACAATCGTATTGGAAATATCGATATGAAAGGCGTGTTCGAGCACCGTATCGATCAATGCCAAACACACACGGTACATGGCTTAACATTTGTTATCAACTTGAACGCAGAGGACGTGAATGGCAACAATGTGCTGAACAACATCAAAATATTCTATCTATATCAGGTGCTCATATTGGTCCAGTAGCGGATGCAATTATTCTTGAGGTACATGCTCAAATTTATTATATTTGATTTATATTTAACCATTGATTCTGTTTCAGGATGGTTATACCTGTGTGACAGGTAGTCGTGATTCATCAATATGTTGTTGGGATCTACGACGAATAGTCCGCCCTGAAGAAACAAAAGTATCGAATGCATTTGGCTCAGCATATGTCACCAAACGCGCTGAAGATAAGCAACAGGTAAAAATTAATCTAGAAAAAAAACAGAACCAGATATTTATCTGTCAATTTAGCGATGGATTTGGTCACTCGACCATGAAGGGCACGTTATATCGAGCGCATCATCAAATTATGAAATTCGTCTTTGGGATTTAAATGAAGAACTACGTGAAATATCACGAATAAAGTAAGCTGCTGACTTTTTGAGACATAAGAGATTAAAGTTACTCGAATAAAAGAGCAATAAGCCATGTACTAATGTACCTGTAGAAAACTGATTAAGTCGCCAAATTGTTTTTCCTAAGATGTCTCCTCTATTATAAGATTTTGATCATTCGAATTTTGGTGTCAAAAGAAACAAAAATAATATTGATCTGTTGAATATTTTTCAATATTTCTAAATTTCTCTGTTTTCTTTTTCTTAACGTAACTTATACTAAATATTAAATTGCCCATTGTCGACTCGTTATAAATCATATTTCTTATCAGAAGCATTTGACAGTCGTTTTTCTTTAATTCAAAAATAAAGATTACGATCAACATTTGCGATGACTCATCGACTTCGAGATTCATTACTTTATGCTGGTGTCTACAATGGTAAATTAAATGTTTACGATACAAGAATAAATAATACCGAAACCAATAATACTCCTGTTCATATTGAACAAGTAACGCGACGCGGTTACATTTATGCACTAGAATTGCAAGATAATTATATTCTTGTGATGCATAAATCAAGTACATTATGTTTATATGATCAACGAACATGGAAAAAAATAGAAAATGTTCCAGTAAGCAAAGCAGTTTTTTGCATAGAAAAATATAGAATAACTGAAAAATTTTATTGTTCATACTAGTTGAATCTTGGTGAACGCGTTTCATCCTACTACAAAAATTCTCTTTTATTTCTTGGTGATAATGAAGGATTTGTACATACATTTCATTGGAAGAAAGATCATTGTGAATTTATTGAAGTATATATTTTTTGTGTGGGATAAAAAATAGTATACTAAAAAAGAAAATTCGATTTAAGAAAATTCGAACTGAACATGGATGTCCAATAACAGCATTGTGCCATAATCAAGGTATACTTCAAACATGTACGGCAGTCACCAAGACTTTAGCTATTGATCAACTTTCAACGCCTGCAAAACATCTTGCTCGAATTCAAGCTGATACAATGGATCAACATATTTGTGTAAGTTATTGAGTTCAAACTCGATGAATAAAGATAAAATTCAGTTAGCTGTTAGAAGCTCCTCTATTATATATTTCCTTATAGCATTCGTTACGAGTAGTATATACATTTTACTAGATGAAACAAAGTTTCTCTGACAAGTATATCAAATTTCTCAAAACAATAACATTCGTATTCCTAAAGCACTATCTGTCCGTCGTTATTTTTCATTCTTTGTTTAAGGCGGTATAACCATATGAGCGAAGACAACTAACAATTGGATACTTTAAGCATTAATAAATGCAGCATGTAAAAATAAGACGAAAACAATATATTTCATTCGAGATAGTTTATATGAAATACAGAGTTTTCAATATCATTTTTATACTCTTTCTAAAATGAACATGCCTATTACGAATAAAACCCTATAGTACTACCTTGCTTGTCTTTTGTTGAGATATTTTATGTAGTTGTGAACTTATTGCTAATGAAAATATTCATCGTTTGAGTTGGAATTCCGGATATGATAACGTCTCAACAATACAAAAATTGAATCAGCATATATATATACATGCCGATGTCTTTACTCACATTTTGTCGTTGGTTACTTACTATCTATAGACTTTCAATTTTCAGAATCAAAATAAAATTTTGGAATTTTTATAATGAGTCATCGCAAATTCATAGAGAAAAAAAATACTTCTTGAAGATAATTTTATTTTCATTTTCTAGAAAACCTTCACGTTTATATGAGAATTATTATTTACTGCAATAAAAGTCTCATAGCTCATTGAAAGTTATCCTACTCGTAAATAAAAATAGTTAGTAGAGAGAGAGAGAGAGAGAGAGAAATATTTCAAGTAGGCTTACCTGCTCTATTTTAAAATAGTATCATTCATTTTTTGATATGTACACTATGATATTCAAGAAAAACAAAGTTACATTCTAATGACTAAGTCTTACGAGAAAAACTGATGAAATTTATCTTGTCGGAATTTTTTCATGTGCACAGAATTCAGACTCAAAACTGATTAACGACTTTGAGCGAATGAATTGCTCATAAATTTAATTGTTTATTTTAAGATGGATGCAAATGATAATGGTTTAACAGTCATTGGTGGAAGTGATAATAATTTAATTACTATCTATCGTGATGAATTCCGACGTTGCTATGCTTTATAATGGATTCAATTAAGAATGTGTTTCATCCGTCCAGATTTTGTTTTTTTGTCTTTTCAGTAGAAATAATAATCAATAAAATTCATATTCTCCTTTTATTCTCGTCTTCTCTATTTATCAAGCATCATAATGTTCTCTCATTCGATATTGATGATTTTTGATTGGCAAAGTGTTTTTTTAGCGTCTGCTGAGATATGATAATCAATCATTGAGACAAGAAACAGAACATTACAAGTAAAATTCTGACTGAGATTTGTCTTGTCTATTATTCATCTCATGTACATATATACGTATATTGAGAGAGAGAGAGAGAGAGACAGAAACAGAGAGATGTATAAAAGAAAGTGAACGATGGCATTTATTCAAACAACAGGATGATCATGGTTGAACACATTTACCACTGCGTCATGGCTTTTAGCAAAGCAAACATGAGTATATCATGCTGTGTTAGAAAAGTTTTGCTTTTTTTGTTTTTTAATTTTTTGAAAGGAAGACAGCAAAACTATTTTATTAATTATAACCATCTGAATTCAATGAAACAAAACAATGTTTGTTACATGTTCATTGCCTGCTGGCGGATAGATGTTTCCTTCTTGTTTGCCAGTCAACCTTTACAGTAGGAACTATAATCGTCTGTCGACAATTTGCGTTAGCCTCGAGTAATGAAGCACAGATTCCATCTGTATTTTTAGCATCAAAGAAAACATTTCTTTTTTTCTCTATTCTTTTGGTCAATATCATCATGGGACTTGATCTTGTCTTGTTTTTTAAGAATAAAACGAAAAACAAAAGAAATCAAATAGAAAGAAAAACAAAACAGATAAATTCTTCTTTTGAATATACAATACACTAGACGATCAGATACATTGAAAATGAAATGTTTTTTCGAATTCATAGAAAATGTTTACGTTAAAATAACGGCATCGGCATCTCAATGAAATGGAATACTCTTCTTTATGCCACATGTGCTATTGATCAGTAAAAGCTTGAGTAGATTACATCAGAAAGTATGAAATGAAGATCAGGGGCTTCGAAAAATCTAATTGATCAATATTATGCCTGAAAATAATTATAAGTGAATGAAAAGAGCTAAAAATAAGAAGAAGAAAAAATAATATGCCTGAAGGAATTATCGAATTTTTTTGGTATCTTTTCATTGACAAAAGAATGCATTTGTTTTTGACAAAGTACGAATAACTTCAATAATATAGAAATTAAGAATGCATAACGGAGGAGGATGGGCGGACAAGAATATTTTTTTTTCTTATTTATAAGATTGAAACATCTATTAAAAGCTTTTTCTTTTCTTGATTCTTTTGTTATTTCACGTCATTGATGAATCATCTCAGCTGATCATATTCAAAAATAAAAATAGCCAGTAAGTAGTTTTTTTATTCTTGAGTTGAGTTAATAAAATCAATCAATTGTTTTTCGAATATTTATGAGATTACTTTTGAAAAATTTAATAGATAAATTTTTTGTTCTACTGAAAGGTACTTCTTTTTTTTAAATTTAAACATATGTTCTACGTATGGACAAGAAAAAGAAAGTGCTACCCTCATTGATCAGTATTATTGTCTCAAAGATAAAAGTATCCTTTGTTGTTGTTGTCGCATGCCATGAAAATACTTTAATAAATTGTGATAGGTACTTTTGCTCTTCACGAATGATTTATCCTTTCTATTCAATTCATACAAGAAGATAACACAATTTATTTCGACACTCTTCATGTCTGTGTTTATATAAGAAGGCAATGCAGAACTGGTCGAGAAACTTTTCTATATCCTAATTGTCTTTTAAATGTCTTCTGTCTGCATGGCGAAAGAAAAAAGAAGAAGAGATCATATTCATTGCTCTGCTTGCTTGCATGCATGTCGCTGCCATCGAGCGTTAATGATAGAGATGTTAGAAAGATGGGTCCATCTGCAGCTGCCAAGCAGACAGAGCAGAAAAAGAAAAAAAGACCTATCATCAACCATTTTTTGTTGTGATACCAGCGCATCTCTTCATCATCCAATCATGCCCGCTTCTTATAAACAACATGCCAATCGTCGTCTCATCAACACATCTTGCATCCGCTCTCACCCTTCGACTATCATTAATTCTATATACCGTTTTCTTTCTGCTTAAGAAAAAGAAAAGCAGATCTTTTTTCTCTTCTCGCTCTCGTTTACAGTTGGTTAATGGGTCGTAGCGATTGAAGTTAACTAACCAATCACAAAATGTATATACTACAAGAGACTCAATGAGAGAGAGAGAGAGAAAAAGAAAGAAAGAAAAAGAGGGAAATGAAGATGAGTTCTTTCTCTCTATAGTTTGGAAGAACTGCTGCTTTTCTTCTTCTTGTTTCGAATAAACACAAGCAGAGGTCGAACAAATCTAAACACACTTATCCTGCCAGTGTATATGTAGTTGCCGTTTGTCGAATTTGTAAACGACTCATTACTTATGTCTCAAATCTGTCAGGCTTAGTTTCTTTCTAATATTGCTGTCTCATCGTCAATTGCATAAACATTTTGTTTCAAAAATATACATATAGATTTATATATTGTCTTCCGATTTTCTCTTTCGTCGTCATCATTATCATCATCATCATCATCATCCTCATTATTATTATTATTATTATTATTATCTTCGTTATTATTATTATTTCTAGTAGTTCTAGTGGTCGTTGTTGTTGATATTGTATACAACAAACGATTTAGATAAAACAAATTTGTATATACTTCTTGATGTTTATTAAAAGCCTTAGTATAGAATATAAACAACACGACAATAGCTAAGATTTATAGTAAGGTAGGTGATATTTTGTTTACGAGAATAGTGGATAAAGAGATAAAGCATAATTATAGATATGTTAACTTTCTTTCTAATTGTTTATAAACGATTGTGTCAAAGAAACAGCCGAGCGTTGCACATGACTAGATGTTGAATCTATATCGTTAGACAGAAAGAGGAAAAAGAAACTGTATCCATTAACGTTCAATGTAGTGAATCAACTTTATAAAATTAAAACAAACATAGATATGAGTAGAATTACCTAATAGAAATAGGATTGAGATTGAATTTAATTCCTTTTTTTTGTTTTGTTTTATTATAGACTTTGTAATAGTTTATGGTGATTATTGAGCAAGGATCTTCAATCATTGACAATTGTCAAATGAATATTAAAATTGATACAGATAAACCAGTTACATTGTCGATCAATACGACAAATGAACATCATCATTTGCATACAACATCGACGCCAACATCTGTTTATCATCCTAGAAATCCTTCAACGAACGGTCCGATGAATGTTAATACAACTAATCCAGGTCATTTTCACCATCACACACATTTGTATAATACAACAAGTGGTTATAACTATTCATCGGTACCACCACAACCAACACCACCACCACCACCACCATCATCATCATCAAATAGTTATTATTCAATGCCGACGAATAATATTTACAATGATTCATATTCTCCCTGTTCAAACTATTGGAAAGCGGCAGCCGCAGCCGCAGCATCCTCATCGGATCTTTCAAAAATGAATAACAATCATTCAAATCGACTTTCCTATCCTATTGATCATCCTCATTCAACTACTATGCATTACATACCATCATCAACAGGTCTATCTTCTCAAATAGATGTCAAATCTGAACATTCATCACCAATAAAAAATACTCCATTAACAACAATGTCAGGTGGAGATGATTCAAATGAAAGTCATCCAACAGGCACAGAAGAAGATAATGAAGATGACGATGACGATATGAATTTGAAAACACCAGAAAAAGAAGAATCAAATAGTACATCAACAAATGCACCAAGAAAATCGAATCGTCGAGCAGAGAAACCGCCATGTACGTCTTATACCCATAGGTTTACTTTCTTTCTATTAACATTATTGTTATTATGATGTCACTTTTAGATTCTTATATTGCTTTGATTGTCATGGCTATAAATAGTACGCCAACGAAAAAAATGACATTATCAGAAATCTATGCATTTTTACAACAAAGTTTTGCTTTTTTTCGTTCAACTTACATGGGATGGAAAAATTCCGTTAGACATAATCTAAGTCTCAATGAATGTTTTATTAAATTACCAAAAGCTATGGGTACGTCAAAAACAAGAGCCTCTTGTTTTTCTTTTAAATGTTAAGCAAAATGAATGTTCTTTTAATTTAATATTAGGTCGAGCAGGAAAAGGACATTATTGGACAATTGCACCTGATTCAGATTGTATGTTTGATGATAATTGTATGCGTCGAAGACCTAGAGGTGATTAATCGAAGATTTTATTATCTTAAGTTTATTTTTATTTCTTTTTCAACACGTAGGATTTCGAAGAAAATTAGGAAAACAATCCGGATATCCTAATCTATTAGGTCAATTAGATTCAACAGTTACAACAAATACTAATGGTATGGCAACTTCATCATCATCATCAACTATGGATCCGAATGCAATGAATTCGTACAATCCTAATCCTTCATCATCGTCTCCTTCGACTTCAACTGGCATTGGAGCTGGAAATTATTTTGATCTTAGTAATTATGCTGCTTCGTCATCTTCAACAGCAGGAGTCAGTGGACATCATTCGTCAGATCTTTATGCAGCTGCAGCTCTCATGGCCTCATATTCTTCCACTTATCCTCATCGTTCTCATTTTACAGCAAACAATTCATCTTGTTCTTCGACATCATCACCAACAACCAATACAAATGCTTTAACGACCAATGCAAGAGTTACAGATGAGACTGATCCAGGATCACATGTACACTTTACAAACAGTGTTCACTATGCATCAGGTCCATCTCAATCACCTTATTTTTCTTATGGAAATCCACCTACTCATCCGCCAACAAGTTCATCATTCGATCCACATAATCATTTTTATGGAAATCCATTTGCTGGATTTCTCGATCAAAAGCATTCACTTTTGCCGGCATCATTGTCCTGCTATGATCATCATCCATCATCGTCAAACTATTAATTTTTCTTCTGCTTTTTTTTATTCATTTGTGTGTGTGTGTGTGTTTGTGTGTGTGTAATATTTCATCGTCTTCTTCTTGTTCTTGTTCATGTTCTTCTTCTGCTTCTTCTTCTTCTTCTTCTTCTTCGATTTTTTCTCGTTTTTTTCTTGTTCGTTCAATGATCTCAAAGATCGTTGATGTTCGTTTTGTTTCCGGCAGGTGAATACTTTCACTGAAATATGATGATGTGCAATTCACTTATATCATTTTATGTATATGAGGATGCGAAACGACAAGAACAAGATATAGAGACAAGTATAACAATTGTGCGCTTTGTTCGATGAATGCATCGATTGAAAAAAACGATTGGTTGGTTGTTTAGTCGTTTCCTATCCTTATATTTCTCCTACTGTGAAATCTCGCCAATAGATCAACCCCGTTAGATTGTTTGTCTCATCAGGAGACAGAAAAATCATGATATCAATCCATCAAATTAATAGATAGACATCTGTTCCTTACAAAATACATCGCCATTGCTATCCTAGTATAGTATATAAAACGCATGATGAAGATCTATAAGTATTCCATAAGTCTCAATGACGTCTATATGCATTCACACTAATATCTATTGAATGCTAAGTTCTTTTCTATTCATCTCGCTAAAAAATTTCTTCCAATAGGATTAATTCATAGGTTTGTATCAATGATTTTTTTTTAAATAGCAAATCATTGTATTTCTATAAATGCAGCACATGGAATTTTCTATCATTGTACCATCATGCATCATTTTACTTAAAACGATGTGTCAGTTTTGTAAGAACGATATCTATCATATCCATGCTCTTTCATGCCTAGTAGGAATCCATTCTATACAACAGATAACTCAGCCAGTAATATTCAACGATTTTCCTACGTGATAGCAATCTAGTTGTAATTAATTTATGTCTGTTTATTGTCATCAACATTTTGCTTCTTCAATCCACTTTATTGTGCGAAAGAAGTTTATGTAAAAATGACAGACACGTACAAGTAATTTCATATGACCACATGAGATCTTCTATGGATATTTTTTTCTTCTTGTGGCGATAAAAAAATGTAGAAGTGTGCAGTTGCGATCAAGACACAGATAGAAATGGATGCAAAAAAGTGAATCTCATGATTATAATAAAGCGGTTGTTCATTGAAGAAACCAATGATATGACCTTACAGTGTCGATATATTCTTTCAATTAGTCAAAACCGATTCTATGTAACCTTTCGATGGATAATGTACTACAAGAGAACATCGTTTTACTATAGTACTTATAGAAATAGTTTGTTGTTAAAATGAGAAGTAGCTTCAATTTTCTTTGCATTGAAAACCTGTGAGAAAAAGAAAATTTCCATTTAATTTTAATTCAAAAAGATTTGATTCACAGCTACAGTACAATTTTTATTTTTCAATACATTTCGAATCGATCAATTAATATATCCAAGGAATAAAAAGAAAGTGTTTGGTAAACTTGCGAGAGTTGTAAAACATACTTTTATTGAATATGACGATAAAGTTGGGTATTAGTATTTTTGTTTTAATTTCAATTAAATTTTATATTTTTATAGACTTCCATAGCACCATCAATAAATTCTAGAAATTCATTTACTTATAATAGTTATTTATCCTATAGAAAAAAACAAAACATGACACACCTTCATAAGTAACTTTGCAATTTTCATCTTGCTGAAATTTATTACTGAATATATTGATTTGATCTTGATTTAAATCCTTGCCTTTGTCTTTCATCACTTGATCAAATTCTTGTTTATCGACAACACCGTCGGCACTTAAATCTGTAATCAATTTTTGGTTTTGTTTTTGAAAATCGTTTTCTATTCATCTCACCAAATGTATTAAATAAATCGCGTAATCCAAGAGTACTAGTTGGAAGATATTCATTCATCATAACTGTAAATTCATCTACAGTAATATCACCGTTCGCTATGTATGAGAAATTCTAATAATTAATTAAACAGAAGAAAACAAAGTCATAATATTTACTATCCGTATCCATTATTTTCATGAATGCAGCAAGTTGTTCTTCTGTCAAAATCTGACCTGAGACTGTTTCAACGAGTTGTTTAATTTCATCTTGTGTTATGCGACCATCATGATTGGTATCAAACAATGAGAAAAGTAATTTCAATTCTCAATAACGAAATGCAAGACGTTCATTTCTTAAATAAATACTAAGAAAATAATTTACCGTAAGCATCATGTGTCGCCATTTTAATTGAAATAAACTGTTGAATTTGAAATGACTTTCAACTTACGCTTTATTTCTTATCTTACCAAAACGCAAAGAAATTATGTTGTTGATTTTTATTTAGCAAACATTAAAAAGATATGAATATTCTTCGAGCTCGTTGTAGACATTTTTTAAGTGAATACATTTATCTTTAAGCAGGCCCTAATCTTCATTTATGCTTCTTTAGCATCTGTTAAATAATAATATCAAAATCTTCTTTATTGATTTTGTTGTAGATAAATCACAATATGCATGTTTAGTTTGTATCTTTCAAGATAGACCGTTTTCTGGAGAAAATATTTTATGAAATAATCAGATACATTTTATTATATTTGCGATAGTTTCTTCAGCAAAATCATTTATTATAACATCTCGAAATTTAAACGAAAATAATTCAGTAACCCTTTGTTAAATATCATTTTCCTGAAGCCTATAAGAAGCTAGTATTTTGAAGCGAATATTAGTTTTATTGCACAATTATAGAACAAAATTTATTTTTAATGTTTTGAATGAACTATAAAAGAATTGTTCAAAATCGGCTTCAATATTCTTAATTTTTATTGAGACCATTGTAATATTCGTTGACATCGTCGACAAACTCTAAAATAATCATATAACATTGATTAATATATATATTTATTGACACACATAATATAAAGTAACATACGTGCATAGGTGATTTTACTAGTTGCATCATTTTGAAATTTTCTATCGAATATTTTAATTAAAATTGGATTCAAATCATTCTTAGTTTCCTTCACTTGTTCAAATTCATCCTTTTCAACATATCCATCACCACTTGTATCTTGATTTTTAATGAAAAACGATCACTGATAAAAACTAGACTCCTCTTTTTTTTTCTCTCTTACCAATGGTTCGAAATATACTTTTTAATCCGTATGTTCCTTGTGGAACATGATTATTTATAAAAGCAACAAATTCATTCAAAGAGATGTCACCGCTGCCTAAAAAAAAAGACAATATACTTTTTTAATGAATACAATATCCGAAAAAAAGCAAGTTTACTATCGGTGTCAGCTAGTTTCAAATATTCAGTTATTTGTTCCTCTGAAACTGATGGACCACTGAGATCAGGTGATTGCAGTAATTGCTTTAATTCATCTGTAGTCAGTGTTCCACTGTTATCAACATCAAATAACGTAAAAAGTAATTTTAATTCTATAAAAGAAAAATTAAACAAAGGAATATACGTATGTGATAAATATGTACCTTGATTATCGTGCGATGCCATCGAGAAAGTGATGTGAAATAGCTGCGAACATACTTGCGGTTATATTTAATACTTTATTTTTTTTATCTTATCAAAACTTCTGACGCAGATCCCTAAAAATAAATGGAATATTAATATTGATACTTCGCTTGAAACTGTGACGTCAATGACAGTTTAAAGGACCTTTTTAGATAATAAAAGATTCGCTAGTAAATTGTTATCGGACGATACTTGTTCTCATAGAAAAATTTCACCATTATTATAAGTACATATTTGTGCTCTTCGATATGCGAATGAGTAGTAGTATCCTATTTGTTTCCTTTCAAAACAATATCAAATTTACAAATGATCGCATTTTGATAAAGACTATCTCAAATAGTCAATGGCAAATGTAACTGTATATGTACTGAGATTACACAAGCCATTTCCATTATTATTATTATTATTATTATTATTATTAGCAATGTCCTCATACATATTGTTTTAATCATCAAATACTTGGGATTTGCAAACTGTTTGTTATGTCGACATTAGCAATTCTATCTCATGATTTGTTTTAACATGATATATTTTGTAGTACAAAAATAGAAGACATATCGAGAAAAAAGGATGAATAAATTTACTTCTTTCGAACACGGATAGCTAAATTTCTTTAGATTAAAAGGTTCACAAACAACATAATCCTCGAGATATTAAATTTCGAGTAAAAAATCTTATTATAATTAGTTTTATAAATAGGATATGTCGGCTTTCGATTGTCGTCATAAAACAAATGATATCATCATCATTATCGGACTATTTCAATAGCGGTGAAAGCAAAAAAAAATGTATTCTTTACATACATATCTATCCTACACAGTAGCGTGGCTAGGGATTTTTAAATGGAGGCGGAGTACAGAAAAGATAACAATCTAAAGATTTCGAATTATGTTGAGACGAAGCAAACAACATTAGAGAAAGATTACGATTTTTTACTAATCGAAAATGTCGTACTGGTCAAAAAACAACTCTGCTCAGAATAGTGTAAGGTTGCCACTAATCGAAAGGAAATTACTACATCCCGTCTCCGGTCAATATAACTATTTTTTCAAAGAAGCCATCAAAAAAGTGAATTGAAGGTCAAAAGTGGCATGTTATACTATTCAAACTTACTTGGCCAGTAACGGATAGAATTGAATTTTAAAAACAATAGATCTCTGTATTTACTGAATATCTGTTTCGATCTTATCAAATAATCAACTGAAAATTATAATCTGTACAGATACGCACCCGGTGCATTAGATGTCGCTAGATGGCGAACAATCGTAGACTGCATTATAGATACACAATAAAGATCAATTTTCCAATTGGGTAAACTACGTCTCAGGATATTTCATTTACAAACACAAGCGATATTTCTTAAAAGTTGTCTTTGTCGTAATCGTAATCATTATCTTCAAAAGATTGAAAACAGAATTGTTTTTGTTGTCTATCAAATACAATTACTAAAATGCCACTGTCGGTTGAATCGGAGATCGACCTTCTTTATCATCTATCAACAATGTCTGAACATGTTTTACCGAAAGGAATATTTTATCTTCTACTATGGAAGCGTCTTAATCAATCCAGTATTCCACCGGCTTTTTCATTCAATGAAATGGTTGATCATCTTCTTATATTGTAAAAAGAATAATAAAAACTTTTCTATGTATCAAAATAATTTATATTTATGTCATTAAAATAGATATGACGAAAGTGTTTTTGATAATCCAGAACTACCTGAATCACAGGATCATGACTTTGAATGGAATCCAATTAAAGTTGAACAACACTTAGAAAATGATTTGCCAAACAAGATTGAACCAACAACACCTCAATCTGTGACTAAAACACGTAAACGTCCAACATCACCATCATCCACTACGACTAATAGTGATATTGGTCGTCGTAGTAGTCGACAAAAAACTAGTATACAAATAAAAGAGGAAGAACAGCCACCAACAACACCACAACCAAAAATTGAAAAGCGAAAATCTGTTAAAGATTCACCACGCATATCAACACGATCAATACCCAATAATGATTCCATTGGTACACGTTTAAGAGGACAAAAATAGAATAATTCCAAAATCTGTACATAATGTTTTTCTTTTTCTAAAGAAACAAAAAAACAAGAAAAGGAAATTAATTATATAGATAGAAATGATCTGTTATTCTAATGAATTTATATTGTAGAAATAAAAAAAAAAGAACGCACCTGTATTCATATAAATCATGTCTCGAACGTCAAATCAACCGGAGCCACATATTCTTCCTGCGCAACTGGATGATGATGAAAAACGTGTATTAGCTGATTGTGAACGAGAGTCACTTTATTATCGTAGTATACCATTAGGTCTTATGACATTGTTTGCAACACAATTCGCTATGTCAAAAAATTTAATAAAACCACAAGGAAAATGGATTAAACTTACTGCAAGTTTATTTTCTGGTTATATCCTTGGCAAAATATCATATGCACCAGCATGTCGAAATAAAATTCTTACACAAATTCCTAATAGCAATCTAGCATATGCAATTCGTGGTATTAATACTCCACACGAATCAACTAATTCAGACGAACAAGATTCAACAACTTACATACCAAGAAAATCAAGAGATCCGAATGAACCTGTTGTTTTTTTACCAGATCCTGTTGAACTTGATACTCTCACCATGCCAGTCGGTGTTAATCAGTATGGTGATCCAATTTATGATACGACTAAATAATTATTTGCTTCATTGACTGAAAAGAATGTGACGCGTTTTTCTATAAGAACGTTTTTTCCTTATGTAATTATTCACGATAGTTATTAGATGAAACTTTCAAAAAAGTAGTTTTAAAATGTTCCTTGACATGTTTATTTCGTTCAGCCACTGACTCTTGTTTGAATATAATTACGTATGAAACTTCTCATGTTTTATTATGCTCTTTGTTAGAATAGAAACTATTCTATCAGAAGACATTTTTACCAGTTCCAACAAAAAACTAGCGAATTGAGATTTAATTTGTATTTTTATTATTATTGACTTAGACAATTGCTATCTTAATCGATCATACACACAATTAATTTTCTATTGTTATGTAAGCCATATGCTATTTAAGTTCACATATTTCTGCTTGTAGATTCTGGATGGATACTTTAAACACAATATCGGCACAACTACGACAGCCAAACCATAAGTTATAGTATGTAATTTTTCTATTCATAAATCATTACTAATTATATTACAAATCCTCATATTCAACTAAATGATGCGATACTTGGATATCCATGGAGATTTACAAATCTTTTTGTCTTCCTTTTTGACACACGAGAATACGTTAAGACGGCTTTTTATCATATCATCTGCTTCCGATTATGCGTGAGAATAGACACCCTCAGGCGTAGGCGCATACGCGTATATACATATACACACATATATATCCGCATGATGATTTATGTGAAAATGTATTGCTCGTGCGTTTTTACTAGTAGCGTATAGGCCAAGGGACATTCTCACCGAAAACATACGAATGTGAACAGATAATTGTTGTATAATCGTCATCTTATCAATAGAAATGGCGTGTTCACATCGATGTGTCATCATTATGTTCAATTACGGTACTCTTCAAATCTATTTGAACGTCAAAAAGGCGAGAAATATGTGTAATATAATGATAGAAAAGAAACAAAAGAACCTGAAGTAGTATTTTGAGTGTATTCATGTCTCTTCGAGCAAAAGAAAAATGGAGCGATTACATAAAATAAAATGATTTTAAATTGAATCTCTTTCTGGGGACTGGGGGGGGGGGGGGTGGGGAGGTCGGGAT